GGATGGTCAGCTCCCCCGCCCGCATCCGAGCGACCAGGGCCGTTTAGGGTGTAGGATTTAGGGTTTAGGGTTTGGGGTTTAGGATTTAGGGTTTAGGGTTTAGGGTTTAGGATTAGGGTTTCGGACTTAGGATTTAGGGTCTAGGATTTCGGGGTTAGGGTTTAGGATTTAGGGTTTAGGGTTTAGGGCTTAGAATTGTGAACCGTCAAGTCCTAGGCATCGAGATAGTACTCATAAACTTCAAGGCCCAAATGGGGATTATTCGGTATTATTCAAATAGTTATCTGTACTCTTAGATGTTCAGGGAATGCTACGCCCCCCCCCCCTTTTCGAAGGAAGGTTGAGAGTTTGCGTTGTTTTGTGGAGGCAACATAAGAAGAGGCTAGGCGGGCTTTCTGGGTATATATGAGCCGTGAACCAAACTCCTTAATGAGGGTTATGTAAGGGGTATATAGGAGACTACTACAGGGGATAGTAAGGCGGATGCTAGAAGTTTAGAGTATGGCTCGGAAAAGATCACGGACATAAAAAGGAAGCTGGGTTTTTGGTGGGGTTCATACACTAAACCCTAAATCCCTGAACTCTGAACCCTAAATCCTAAACCCTAGACCTCAAACCCTGACAGGTATGATACGTACTACTTTGCGTCTTAAAAAATGATGCTTGACACAAACCGAAACCTGCACAAAACCCTGGACAGCATGTCGCAAACCCAAAAGTCCCAAAGCTTTGAACTCCAGGGCTTTCATGAGGTTTATATGAGGGCTACAGGAGTTTTAGAGGCGCTATATAGGCATGTATATATATATATGTAAACCCTACGTAAACCCTAAACCCCAAAACCCTAAACCCCTAAACCCATATAAACAGATGTATATATATATATATGTACATAATGGATATGAGCTTCTGAGGTCCTGACTCCCCATGCAGCACGCCGCGGGTGTGGGCGCCAAGTGACTGTGCCCTAAGGGTCCACATACCCAAATGAAAGGGCTTCAGGCCGCAAATACAAAAATCTGAATCGCACATTGGGCCTATATTGGGGGCTTGGACCATCTAGGTTGTATATTGGGCCTAGCTGGTGTTTGACAGGTTTAGCGTGTAGGTCTGACGGCTGGATATTGGAGGCCAGACAGGGGTCACGTGGAGGTTTTTGCGCCCATCCTCTTCTGTCCATGAAAGAAGGATGCAAAACGCATTGTTCGGGTGCCCTAAGAAGGCATTTAGGCTTTAAACCACTGATCCTTGGAAATCTCCCGGATCATCGTCCTAGTAGCAGCGCCATCGTCGCGGTACTAGTGGTGGAGTAGCGGTATAGTTGTACTACACATATGATGAAGCTTTTTTCGTTGCGACCCATGAGCTACCCAGAAGTGCTAGTAATTTGTCGCTGGGCTCGCTTTAGCTGCTTGGCGCGCAAGCCCAAAGCGCTCGCGATTTGACTTTCTCCATGCCAGGCGTTTAAACGTCAATCCCTGGAGCCTAAAGCCCGAGCACCTCAAATTTCCAGCCATGCAGAATTGGGGTGAGCCCATGGCGCAGGATGAGGCAGCCCAGGGGGATCAGCAGGAGGCGGAATGCTTTTGTGTCTTCGACAAAGTAGCTTTTAAGGGGGTAGCGTTCAGGCGTTCCTGAAAATTATGGTTGCTGTTCAAGCAAAATCTGTAGGGGTCATTTTGAGACATTCCTTTATTTTGCATATTCCACGTCAATACCACGAAAAACTCAAGAACCTTGGAAGCCCTAAGAACAACATAGAAGCAAAGAATCACAGCATTGTTTTGTTGCACCCTAAACCCAAAAATCTTAAACCCCAGGGCAAATCTGAAGGGCTATATACAAAAGCTTTTGTCATTAATAACTAAATGAGGATAATCGTATTGTTGGGTAAATGTTGGGTTCCCTATTTGGGCGAGATACCGCATACCGTCATAACCTCGTGTATAAATACGGCATCATCAACCACTGCCCCAATTGGTAGTCATTCAGGCTCCAAAGCCCTAAACCATGTTCTTATCAACAAGGCCTCTACAGAAGGATCTTGGGCTGGTTTTGTTAATTGTGTTCTTAGTGAGTTGGAAATACTTCCGAAAGACAGTTTTGATTCCTTTAAACAATGTGGGGATGAGTGCTTACAGCTTCTTCCCGAAGCAAACAGGGAGCCCTCCATGCAAGAATTGCTGGCTCTTGCAAGGGTGTTAGTAGGCTGCTGCTGAACCGCATAATTTTGGAGTTCTTCTGAATTCCCAGCATTTCCCTAAATCTCTACAGTTTCGGTGCGGCGTCTTCGCTGTTTTCAAAACATGCTGCAAGATGCAAAAACTTTGGTGTTTCCTCAAGATCCTAATGCTGAGAAGGCCACAACGAGTTGGAGTTTGGGTGTCAGGGTTTAGGGCCCAGGGACCCACAAAAAGAGATCAAAGGTTTTCCGGTGCGGGGTGTAGGTCTATAATCCCCATATAACCCCCATATAATCCCTATATAACCACCCATATAACCCCTATAGAACCCTGGGTCGGTCTACGAAGTAAAGCCGGGAGGTCCTGGACCCCTTCGAGCCCGACGAGTTCGTGGAGTATAGAAGCCGTTCCAGTGGGCAATGGATTCTGGCCAAGGCCTGTCACCTGAGCCATGGGTTCAGGGTTTAGGGTTTTAGTCTAAATTCCTTAAAGGGGGTTCTATAATGGATTATATAGGGGACTACTACAGGAGTTACTAAGGTGGATGTTAGGAGTTTAGACTACAGTACACCTGATTTTATAGGGACGAGAACGGAGAATCAAATGGAAAAGAAACTGGAAAATGAAATGGAAACCCTAAGTCCCTTTAAGGAGTACATAGGGATGTTACCCCAATAAGACTGGAGAATCACATGGAAAAGAAAATGGAACATGAAATGGGAACTAGTATAATAGGGTCTAGGGTTTGGGGATATAATGGGTCTTGAGATGGTGAGGAACCCAATGGGGTTCTATAAGGATAATGGAGAAGAGAATGGAAACTACTATATTATAGTAGGGTATATATTGGTGGGAGGTATATAGGGATATTAATTACCCCAAAAGAATGGAGAATTTAAGTGGAAAAGATCATGGAAAATGAAATGGGAAGTGGGTTTATAAAGATTTCGGGCTTAGGGTGTACTACTTATGGGGATAGCTGGGCCCATCATCTGGCTTCTGAGGGTTGTCACGTGAGGCCTTCCTTGGAGTTGGGGTGGAGGTGCGGAAGTCTCATATGGGCTACAGTCTAAACTCCTTGAGGGGGGTATATAGGGATTTATATAGGGGACTATTATAGGGGTTATCAAGGGGGATACTAGGAGTTTAGACTTTAGCTCATATGAGGTGCTGCGCCTGCGCACTTGTCCGACTTCTGGATTTCATGGGGACCTAAGGTTTTGGACTCTACCGACCTAAAACCTAAGAACCGTTTTGTTTGAGATCTCGCCCTCGCATGTAACTAATATCGGACCTGAGGGGTTGAATAGGTACGCTTTACACTCTTGAACCTTCTTACAACGGAGAATGCAGAAGACGTGTGCGCAGTACATCTTACATGTAGGGGTGGCGCCCTCTCGTGGCGGACATGAAAATGAGCATACCTGGTACTTGAACACGCTTGGGTGACTTTGCCTTAACTTTCTCGCACGCAAATCTTGGCGTCCCGCATGCAAATCTTGGCGTGTTTTACTGCTTGGGAAGCTGCATGCAGGTAGTGTTGGATGAGCTTCCTAGGGTTTATCAGTACATGCTTTGGGGCTACCGTAAGCCTTGGGCAGGGCTATGCATGCTATGCCAGAATTTACTTCCAAATGTTCGCCTTAGGGAGGTCGTCATGCCCGGTAAGCAAGTTCTATTCTATGTGACCTTTAATCTAAACTCCGTAAAAGGGTTGTACAGGGGATTATCTAGGGGAGTATTATAGGGGTTATAAAAGGGGATACTAGGAGTTTGGAGTATAGCTCATGTAATTCCTGTATGGCCTCCATATCGCACGCGTGCAAGAGTACGATGCGATCCCTATTCACCTTTGACTTTATGCCCCCTATCTACCCAGACCCTCCTAAGTCCCTTTTGGGTAGTATATTCCCTTACCCAAAAAACATAACAGACCCTAAACCCTAAACTCTTACCCAAGAAGGAACTACATGAGAGCCCTTGTGTGGAGCATTACCTTCCTTTAGATCCTTAGAAGGCACTGAAGTCCCGCATCTAATGATATTTAACATGATTCGTGCCGTTCCTCCCACCCTCGTTACTTCCCTAAACCCTTAACCCCCTAAACCCACTAAACCCCTAAACCCTAAACCCTAAACTTCGTTACTTGTGAGCATGATTTGTTATGGTGGAGCCTGCTTCCAGCTCCAAGACTTCGCACAGCTTGGCAGATGGATGCAAGCGCCTACAAGGAATTTAAGACACGTGCTAGGGTACTAGTATAGAGCTCATTAATAGACCCCCCCTCCCCTTAATGGGGATTATAGTAGGGATCCTAATATTAAGGCTCTTAAAAGGAGGGCTTTTTTAATCTGGGGTTTACATTACTGTTCTTGTTGTCGGTGGGCTTGTATCCACGCTCACCAGCATTTGAGTTTGCCACACTCATATATAAAGTACAACCCAAAGTTACGAACTTTGGCGGTGGGAGCAAAAACCTCGGCATTCCTACGCCCAAGCCCTAAACCCTAAACCCAGTTCCCTTGTATTTCAGTAATGAGCGAATCTTCAAGCAGAGAAACTCTAAGGCTCTCTAAAGGTTTCGTCAAGCTGGTGAGCGATGATCGTTGGACGATTCCTGCTTCACCACATCCGGGTTTAGGGCTGGGGGCTTGGGGGATTAGGGTTTAGGGTAAGGGATTTGGGTTTAGGGTGTAGGGCTTCACCACATCTATCCTCTGAAAGCCAGGTAGACACAAGAAGCATGTGCGTTGGCTCATGTCCAAAACCAAGATTTGCAGGTGTAGTTTCTTGTGTGCCATAGTAGAGGAGAGAGCCATGGTTCCTGTTCTGGCCACAGCTCTCCTGGCTGCATGGGTGCCGCCAGCCGCTGCTCTGCTTTCCCCAGCTGACCAAGATACATCACGCAGCGACGCGCAGCTCCCTGTGGTGGTGGTCTCTGCTCCGTCGCTGCGTGGCCAGGCGATGGTAATTGATGCTCCCAGCGCACCCAATGCTCCTGTCTTCTTGGACAGTGCCATTTTCGAGCGGCTGGAGCACTTCAAGGATGTGGGTGTGCCCGCAACGCTGCAGGACCCCATTGGGCGTGCAACAATCGCAGACGGTACTTGCCGTGCCGTGGTATCACCAGGATCTGGTCCTTTTCCACTGGATGGCTATGATTACTGGCACCACAACCCCGAACGAGTCGATGCCGTCCTGAAGGCGCTTACGCAATTGCCCTCCACATCGCAGCCATCAAAGTTTGTGGGGACAGCCAAGAAGGAGTTGCCAAATGCTTGCTTCTACGGCAACCGGACGGAGACCAACTCGCTCGAGCTTTACAAGCCAGATGCATTGGCCAAAACCCTCTTCAATTGGCACCGGGCCATCTGCGACCTTGAGTGGGATGATCCTGCGGAAGAGCCTCAGCAACAGGCCCTCACCACTGGATTCATCTGCATGGCTACCTGCGACACCGCAAAGATGAAGCTCACAGCTGCAGCCATCAGTGCTTTCTCGGCCAGCATGGCAGCTGCGCAGACTGCAGCCCTGCAAATCACTAGTCATCTTTTGGTTTCTCCATTAACTTGAAGGCACGTTTGATTCATATTTTCCTGATTTTCCTGTTACTAGAACACAGCAAAGGTAACTAAGAACATGTGCGCAGCCATGCCTTGGACCAAGAAGGGCCCACTGACACCACTGGATGGCCTGAAGTCGTACGACGAAATTGCCAAGGCAACTCTGCCGTGGCGTCAGGTCTGCAGTTGTACAGCCTAATATATATTTATACCCAATACACTCCCCAATATAGCTTAGTATATATACAAATATATATATATATGTACCCCAACATACATGAGATATACACTAATAATCCCAACATACCCCAAGCACACAGCATGAGCTTGGCCTTGAATATGGACCGACCAATCTCGCATCCTGATGGGATCCTCGGTTTAGTTTCACTGTTCATGATGTTGCAGCGCTTCAGACGACCCGTGACAGAAGCACTGTATCCTTTAGGACTCCAAATAACCCAACGTAGGTACTATTTATAGACATTGGGGCCCAATGTAGGAATTACTTATCGACATGGAGCCGCAGGGTGTGTAACCTGCACACTTTGTGCATCCATTTCAGTAGCAACCTGCTCCCGAGGCTGCCACAGGGGATTTGTTTTTGCTCATCCCAGGCCTCAAGCAGCTGTGGCACTACAGGGTTTGTGGCGTGCTTGGCGCCACAGCCCAATTCATGCCACGCTGAATGAGCATGTGTGATGTTGTGAATTTTGTGGGCGAGGGCACTACTTGTGCTCGCAGCAGGCACGCGCGAAAAGGCGTGATTTTAGTTGAGTGGCTTGGCAGATACGGCAGTAAGATCAGTATGCGCAGCATACGAAACGCCTTGCCCTTAACTTGCAAAAGCTCTCAGGACGCCAACCCCCTCCAAGGCAGCGTTCCCGAAGTCTGCGCTTGCAAACAAGAATGTACGTATGTGCACATGTCGCAGGCCAGCTGCTAGTACTCTTGAAACATAAAAGCATAAAATCCGGATGAGAAGGGTTGACCTTTATCCGCAGGGACAACAGCAGAAACATGATGCGTAATACCATGTAGTCTAACATGTGAAGCCGAACGTCTAGCGTTTTAGTAGTAACCCGACCTGAGAGCCCCCAAGCCTCTGAATCCCCGCTTTTGTCCGCGGCTGATGAAGCACGTACGGCTTCGTGATATTAAGCCCGAAGCTGTACATCCACAGCTCAAAGCCCTGAACTCTGAACCCTACACCTGCATCCAACCAAAGCCTCTGGGTCATCTGAGCAACTCACGTCCTGCAAGGTAGAGACTTCTTCCGTATCCCTTCAACCTAATCACCGATTTGTGCATCCATCGCGTCCACCCTCTACACGCCAATCTTGTTGCCACGGGAGGATTCCAAAACTGCGTGAACCCTAAACTTACTGGTGGCTAGTAGGGAATAATGGAATAGAATCCCTACATAGTCTCCATATACAATTTTCCCTTATTCACGACTAACCCCCATGTCACCCAAAAGGTGGAGGCCTGCAGCCTGTCCTCTATGCCCAAAGAGTTCATTTAGCTATGTGACATCTACTTGGGTCCACAATTAATTAGATGGGCTTTTGGGCCCTAAGTATAGATTATATAGCAGCGTGGGCAGTTATTTGGTAACCTCCGTTGCGTTCTAAGTATAGATTATATAGCTACATGGACCCTTTGGGATAGGTGCAGGGCTACAATGCCGACACGCGCATGTACCGTCTTGATGTGCAGCCATACGCACCGGCGGAGAGGTTCGCTTTGCGGTAGAAGTGTTTTCTGCGTTTGGGTTTAGGATTGAGGCTTCAGAATTCAAAATTTTGAGCTCTGGTCAACTCCCATCTAGAAATCCGTGCCAGCGTTTAAGGTGTCCTCGACCGGGTTGCTCTTAGTTACTATCACGTTTCTAGGATCCAGTTCCGAGTTGAAGGTCCAGGGATGTTGCGTGGTCGGATTTGCCCAAATCTGAACACTCATCTTATCCCTTCAGAAGACTCAACATAAAAGTATACATACTAGGTTTGATAGAAGGCATCCTGCACCCACCACAAGTATCCAGAAGTTGGGAAGCACAGCATAACAGGCATGGTAAGCGTTGTGTCAAGTTGGGCAGTCTTCTAAAGCTCCAGATTTGAGGTTCAGGGTCTAGCATGTAGAGGTCCACTGACATGGAAAGTCCTTTGAAGTTATTGAAGTTGGAGCCACTAGATGGTCTCCCTACAAACTTCCAAGCCAGCTTAGTTCTGAGTAAAATGACCCGTGACCCGTGTCGTTGAGAAATCTGCTGAATTTCAGCCCAAACCCTAAGCCCCGGGCCCTCATGCTGGCTACTCCACTAGTACCCTGGAAGTCCTTTTATACTCTTCGGAACCATGAGGGTATCCTTTTTTTTACGAAATGCTTGGCGCGCCCTCACCATTGTAAGAAGCCCTCAAGAACTGTACAGGTTTGAACCCTACACCCTTGGTGCACCCCCCCCCCCCCCC